AAGCATTTCCTTTCCTTTTCACAAATCTCTGGCATTGAGAGACGTCTTTCCTCTGGCGGCATGACGGACCTGGGGGCTTTTTTTCCAACAATAGTATATCATCCCAGGCCCCCCTTGTTTGTTCTGTAACAATCCTTTTATAAAGTAGAGGTTCTCTTAACTAGTTAGAGCTTTTCATTTGTTCTTTGTTTTTAAGTTTACAAAAGTAGTCATACTAAAACATAAAGGCTTCATTTTACCTCTAACCCACTCCACTCCATCCTACCCCCAGGGGTAACTTCTGTTATGGTTGGTCAACTCTTGATTTTTTCAGAACTATAGTAGATGCAGAAACTATGAATGCTTAAAATCTTCAGATATATCTCAAACCTTGTTTCAGATAAGAATGTCAGCCTCTTTCCCACTAAACGTGACATCAGAACAGCTAGCAAGCCTTATTAATCATTCTTTTTCCTTCTATATCCAATCTTTTGCCCCAGAAAAGGTACAGATTAAAAGAAAAATGGACATAATCAACAGACCTGAATAATGTGTGTGTATGTAAACTTTATAGTGACAATTCCTGAAACCTGTTCTATGGGAGACTTTAATAAGTGTCCTTAAAAAAGAAAGAAAAGAAGGAAGAAGGAAGAGGAAATGGAGGAAGACAGGAAGAATAAAGTCTGGCAGTGGGCATTTCCAAAATCAAATACATGGAAAATAATGGGTTAAAAAAATACCAACAACATTCATGGAGATGCTCTTACTGTTCATAACATTGCTGACCACCAAACTTTTAAATCACAGATCACCTAGTAATATCTTGAAAGCATCCAGATTGTCAAAAATACATAGCAGGGGAAACAAGCACTGGCTATAGCCTCCCCTTCATTACAACACTGGCAATAATTCATACAGTTGAACAAATGAGAATCTGGAGAGATATGCACAGGACCACATAAATTTGCTATTTGCCACAAGACTAAAGTCTACAGACTATCTTAAGACTCTATCTTCACTATGCTGTAAAAACAGGTTTGCTTTCTTTGGTGTATTATTTTTCCTTTGTATAATAAATGAATAAATGAGAGATAGAAATCTGGCTCTAAAATTAAATGCGGTCAAGTGTTTGCTTTCACTAGTAAGTAAATATAACCAAATGGTCACAATGTACATTCTATCCATTTTTTAATTTCCTTTACAAAACCAAAAGTTAAAGTATTTAGGATATTAATACAATCATTGCTTTGTTGTAAAAGAACCTTTAACAGGTTAATAAAAAAATACTGTTAAGTTATACTTACATAAAGTGACTACAGTCACCTCTATCTGTGTAAAAACAATGGTAAATTTGGATCTATCTCCTTCTATGTTAGACTTCAAATCATGATATAACTCAGCAGTGAGCACTGTTAAATTTGGCCCTGAAATTGGATGGGGTCTTATTTACCAAAGTGTAGTCATGAATGATAACTTTTCAATATATCTTATTGCTGTCTTCCTGCTGAAACTCTAATTGGGTGGGAGAAATCTGGGAGGACTTCCTAGGGAAGTGGATCCTTATGGTAACTAAAAATGCAGTATATCCTCGGGGAAAGCTGTTCTGAAATTCCACTTGAGTAAAAAAAAAAAAAAAAGGGAATAAATACATCATCAATGGAGAAAAGTCTCCATCACACATTTAAGCTTTTTTTGTTGTAGTTTCTTCATTGCCACTGAGAACAGGAAGTGTGATAACTAGCGCCCGTATTTACAAACGTCAAATAGCCTCACTCTGTCATATCCAGATTCCTACATGCCCAACTCAAGCTTACTTTATGAAACCTCTCACCACTGTCTAATTCGAGTCGCAATGACTTCTCCCTCCAGGAAGCGACTTGATTCTTTCTTGTTCAGGCCTTTCACTTAACACATAACCATACTCAATGCACCTACAAGTTGCTGTTTAACTTGACTAGTGCACGCATCCTGTTCGTAGAGAGGTCTAGGAGACTTCAGGTGGCAGGACCAAGGTCATAGACAGTACATCTTTGGAGAACCCACAGTACCAGGCACAATTCTGTTTACATGAGCATTCTCAAGTATTTGTTGACGGATTTATATTACCAGTCAGTGCTTTATGATGGCCCTAGGAAAAATTAATCTCTGGGAGAAAATATAAGTATTTGTCTATCATGAAAATAATAAATGGGCTTATTGGTTTTAGGAAATGTCACTAGACTGTAATTTAACTAATTTATAAGTAAATGCTATTTTTTCCCTATGACAGAGCAGCGTCATGTTAGGCCATCCAGATGCAGATCACATAAGGACTTGGGCACAAAATGTTGTGAGGGAATTAACTGCTTAACAGCAAAGGACTTTGAACAGTATCTATCGTTAGAGACTAATAAGAAGGGTAAGAGTAACATTGCTGAGATGTACATAATCATACACAGTATAGAGAACAATTAAGAATTTAGAAAGTAATGTTGAAGTCTCACTCATTCATTCATTCATTCATTCATTCATTCAACAACCGTCATAGAAAACTTACTGTGTGACAGGCCGTCTTAGCAATGGGCAACTAAAGGGAAATGAGAAATAACCACTCAATGTTGGCTCTCTAAGGCAAACCCAAACAGAATCAATCTAAAAATTCATCTACCCACATCCATGTAAAACCATAATATACTTGGCTAAAGTGTATTAAAATATTTTATCTTATTGCTTTAAGCAATGCAAATAGTTTTCTTTGGCCTAAACACCGGCAAACTTCAATTACCCTAGAAACTCCTTCAAAGACAGATTGCTTTATCTCTGCCCATCAACAAACCCTCAGGCATTTGCTGTTGAAGAAGGACACAGAGATGGCTATAAGCAATAGAGGTAAACTTGCCCAAAGCTTGTCTAAACAAAACTTCCCTACCTGTGATGAGGGCTACAAGGACTCAGTCCCTATCAACACATCAGCAGCTGCTGAAACATTCTTATGCTTCACAGGAGCATAACATTTTCTTCTAAAACTTAAGGAAGACGGCAAAAACAGAAAACCTTTTACCAACCGCAAAAATGTACATTTAAAACGTGTGTGAAATAAAAAATGAGCTGCAATATACTTTTACAAACAGAGAAAAAGTAGAAAATAGTATCTCCCTATGCTCAGCTACAACTTTCTGAATGGAACTGAAGCAGAAATGTTGCAATACAGCTAAGCAGCTTTGCGATGAAGCAACTTAAAATGATCTACCTATTACATAAACTAAAAGTAAGATGATAGGGGAATATCTACTCTTTCAGAATCAGAACCCATTTTTCAAGTGTGTTTTTAGGAGGAAGGACGTAGTCTTTAAATAGATCAGTGGGCTTTCATTTAACTAGAAATTCACTAAACCAGAAGTCAATAGTTTTAAAATCTACACAATTAATTTGACAATAAACTTGACTATTGAATCTTAATTTTAAAACTAATATGTAACTGCTCCGTTCTTGTTCTAAATCAAAGGGATTTCTTCTAGGACCTCAAAGGAATGAGCACTTAGTCTACCTCACGGAGGAAGAAGCGGTTTCTAGTCTTGAAAAACAGGAGAACGCCTACATGATCACCTGGGACAAACTTGGCCAGTGCGAGCAGGCTAGAAGGTTATAGGAGCCTGGGAATGTTTAACATCAAGAAGGGAATTACAGCTCAGTAAGATCACAGGGAATTGCACAGGAAATGTGAACAGTAACCCTTTCATATCTCCGTACCCCTCCCACTGCCTGTGATAAATGGAGTCCTGCTGCATGCTGTCCAGCTAGGCAAATGCATGAGCCAACAGCAGGGGGGAACTGGGAAAAAGGAAAAAAATCCATTTTACACACACACACAGAGCACAGCATAAATTCATGACATGATAAAATCACACTGCTTCAGAAAACAGCCTTTAGCCTTTCTGACTGCCACGTGTGCACCGTATTACTGCCTTATCCAACAGCCCTAAGTAAAAATTCCGAAGAAACTTGAAGAACCAGGCGGGGGTGGGGGTAGAATAGTTGGCGGAGTCATCATAAGTAGGAAAACGTGGCTCCTCTGAAGCTGACCAAACAAACAGGTCTCCACCCCGGCTTATGTTTAAACATCTTGTTCCTAGTCAGTCTGGAGGGAAAACATTCTTTCCACAATAAATAATATGCAATCGAATCAGAAATTCTTACTCCAGCCTTTGTTCCCTCTGTGTAAAAGTTTCTTCAGTACAGTCAGCCAGAAGCTGAGAGAATTCAACTGGTTATGAACTTTTTGTTTTAAGAGTAACTTAGTTGCATAAATTCAAGGCAAGTTAAAATATTTCTAGCTGTTAATTTAGAAAAGCTAATGTGACCACCCAGATCCTATACTCTTTAGAGACCCCTGGTTCGCATCTCAAGAAAACAAGCTACCTTTACTACATCTGCTCCTGGAAAAGGGAAATACTCAGTTTCTAAAAACAGGTGAATTTGAGAGAGATTCATTAAAAAACAAAACAAAAAAATCCTTCATGGTCCTTAGATAATAAAGGTATGGATGGAGTATGAAAATAAAATGAATAAAAAATTGATTTTTTTCAATGGGCTAAGTTTAAAATATGGAATGGTATTTCACAGGTCATTTTGAAACAAGATTTAACTTTTCCCACTGGTATAGCTTTAGAATAGAGATGTTCAGCCACAAAGAGTGGGTCAAGAAATAAATGGCAGTGAGTACAGATACGGCAAAGCAACCAACAATAAAAGTGAAAACGGTAAGCTTAGAACTATCCAGAAGCAGGAACAATAAAACCAAAGGATCTTTTTTTCCCTGCAAAGTGCCTCCTCCAAAGCACACATATTTCCTTTAAGAAATAACCTATACTAGTAGTGTTTTTGTACAGTAAATGGTACACTCAAATGGCAAATGAGATTTCAATTACAGACTTCCTAGTCACCTTAAAGGCAAACAACTGATGTCTAATTTCTGTAGCACTGGCTCACAGGTAGGCAGTCCCGTGACTCTGAAACAAGCTAAAGATGCTGCCCTGACCTACGTGGATCAGCTGGTTGAGGGTCATCCAGTGACGTGAAGGGTCTCCAGTTCAATTCCTGGTCAGGGCACATGACTCAGTGGCAGGTTCAGTGCCCAGTCAGGGCACATACGAGAGGCAACGATCCATGTTTCTCTCTCACATCGATGTTTCTCTCCTTCTCTTTCTCCTTCCCTTCCTCTCTCTTTAAAAATAAATAAATACAATTTTTTAAGGTGCTGCTCTTTCCATGGATTTAGAGTTGCTATAAAATTTACATTAGGAAAGCATTAGCAGAACAAGAGGGCACAAAAATGATAAACAAACTCCAAATAATAAACCAGACTTCTGACCGGGGTCCCGAGAGGGAATCGATTCCCCACTACAGTGTGGACCCTGAAGCTCACCAAGTAGAATCTCAATGGAGCAATCGCCTCATCTGTAAATGAGAGCTCCTTTTACTACTCCGTAACCATTTTTTACTCATGTCTTGTGTAAAGCATAAAAACTTCATATCCTCACTGTATATTATTTGAGATTTCAAAATAATTTAAATATTATATAGTCAAAAAGAAACTATAGCAAGACAATTTTTGCTTTTTTTCAAACAATGTTCTACAACAAAATTTGTTAAATACTTGTATAACTAGACAAATATTAATACTTTACCATTATTTTGAAGACAAAGAGGTCAAAGATAACTACGAACACTAATGAACTGATGAAAATGAAGTGGTGACCATTGGGACTTCACCATATCTCCTCTCATGAAGAATTACTGTAGATGATGTTTTTAGTTCTTACATTATTAGGCCTGAAGAAATGCTGACCAATACAATATTAGGCTTTCAATATTCGTTAAATGATTCAGCAATAAGGCCTCTTTTTTTTATTCTGAAAATAACAGTGCCCTCATATAGTATTCTCTTTCAAGTAATAAAGGATAGAAGCAAGCAGTGTGAGTCTGCAGTACAGAGACAATAGTAAAAGATGCAAATTGTAGTCAGCCTTGACAACATAATAAAAACGGCAAAAGTATCAGCACATTTGTATAGCACTTTGCAATGTATGAGATATTTTATATAATTTCAATCCCACAACTTTATAATGTGGATATCATCTGATTGCAATAGCATAAAGTGGCTTTTTCAAAGTTACTCAGCTAATTAAGCACCATAACTGAAATTTAAACCCTCCTGACAGCCATCCCATTCATTAAAAGCGCTTAACTTTGTCGTGAAATTTTGAAAATATCTTCATCCAAACTCCAAAATCAGGGTATAAATAATAAGCACACCTTTTTTTCTCTTAACCCACCCAGGATCACTCACTCCCTTTCTACTAATTCCCAAACCTTTCTCACGGTTCCCATTGTGACAGCCTTCATTTCCTCATACCAGCATGACAAAGGGCACAAGGAAAAGCACCTTTCAAAACAAACCTTTCCGCCAGGTCTTATGTCTTGCATCACCCAGAACGAGGACACCATCACTGGCATAAGCTTTGAACAGCATTAACTACTGTGGAAATGTCTGGTACTGTCTGTCCTTCGTTCAGAATGAGTCAGACCTGACACACATGCCTCTTCATTCCTAAAAGGTGAGCAGGAGTTACCGTCTCATCTCCAGCCTTCTGGCTCAGTGAAGACGCTCATCCCAAGGAGCGGGCAGAGAAAGGCTGACGGCACACGAATAACAAAGCTAACAGAACTAAAAGTTATATTCCTACCAATTTTTAAAAATCATTCTAAATGTTTTATTTTTGAAAACTTATTAAAGATCGATAAATTAATGGCATTAGCAATTTAATGTAAATGTGAGGTATACTGAAGGTAAAAATTTATTCACATAAAATGAATATAGAATACTCACCTTTGTCAACAAAAGGTCACTGTCACCAATCCAATGCCAACAGGAATCCCCAGTCTGGCTTGTGGTAAAAAGGTGAACAATTTGCAAACTGCAGAAACAGAACCTCTGGTGAAAGCCAAAGGTGTGTTCCGCAAAGACAAGGGAGAGGGGGGCGTTTTTGTTTTTGTTTTTTTAACAGAGAAGTTCCTACCCTGGTTCAGGATTGGTTCGTTTCTATGCCAATAAGGAATCCAAACAGCATAGTTCCCATTGGTCCCAATAGCACTGTCTTGATTGGTCAGCTTTGCGCATTCTGTTTCATCATTATCGAGTTGCTCTGACTGGTCAGAATAAATGCAAATGAGTGGCAAAGTTCCAATGGACAGGGTGGCGCTCAGTGCACGCAGTTGACTAACGTTATCAGAAGCTCCCTTTTAAGGTTCACATCAGAAAGCAGGAGCTCAGTGCAGCAGGCTTGGAAGCTCAGTCCACGGCTTCTCCCTGAAACACAGCATGCGTGAGAGGCCTCTGTTAGCAATGGCTGCTAGACTAGGATTATGATTTTTTTGGCCTAATTAACCATGAGGAATCCTTGCAGATATATTCTTCCTCAGGGTTCACACATCTGAAGCTTATCATGAAGATTATGAGACTAAATCACATGAAAAATGCTAAACTTCTTGCCTAATACATAATAACTACTCAATAAATGTTGCCGTTACAATATTATTGAAGTATCAAAAACAAAACATATATTAGAAGGTCATATTTAAAATGCACCAGAGAACAATATAATCTGTGAATTACCTTAATTTATATTCGAAACAGAAATATCTATTCTGTGCACAGACTCATAGTCATATAAATATTCAGGAAATGATTTGGAAGAAATGGCAAATGACCTCTGGGAAGATGGGAGAGGAAGTAGTCAAAGGAACTTTGATCTGTAATTTTTTTAAGTATTTTTGTATTCCTTCTTTAAATAAAATAATATTTTAAAAAACAAAATAGAAAACTTATTTAGACAAAATAGTATCTTAGTAAGTTTCTAAATTCCACAGTTGATTTCAGTATTAGATGAAAAAGAATACTTTCATTTTTAGTTACTGTGTCCAAATGAGAATTAAAATCTCATTTTCTTGCCCTGGCCAGTGTGGCTCAGTTGGTTGGAGTGTCATCCCATAAACCAAAAAGTCACAGGTTCAATTCCTGGTCAAGGCACATACCTAGGTTGAGGGTTCAGTCCCCTGTCAGGGCACTTACAAGAGGCAACTAACCAATTGATGTTTCTCTCCCACACTGATATTTCTCTCTCTCTCTCGCTCTCTCTCCCCTACTCCCTTCCTTCCCTTCTCTCTAAATCAATAAGCTTGTCCTCTGGTGAGGATAAAAAAAAATCTCATTCTTTATTCAAGCTTTATACTACGCATTGCTTTTAATAATCTTCCTAATGATATTCATAATTACTATATTAAAAATACCTGCTTGTGCAAAAAAGAAAAGAAAAAATCTATTTTATTTAGTTTTAAAACCATTCAATGTATTTAATCAAGGTGCAAGGAGGCTTTCAAAGGCCGGGAAGTCATAAATCAAAAAATGGCTTTACATGAAAAGATTACTTTTTCTGTTAAATTTTGTATGTGGTATTTAATACACCACATACAGAAAGGTGAACCCTCGATTCTTTTTAAAGCCAAAGGGTTGCCTATTTAAAATCATCCTAACAATTTCAAATGTCTTGAGGGTTTCTTTAATTAAAAATCTCTTCTTCCAGGCTCTTCCTAACTTCTAATTCTGGTCTGTACCATGCTGATGCTGGTTTTAAAATTCTAACTTTCCTTCTACTTTACAACCATAACTTTGACTTTTTCATTCCATTCTTTTTTCCTTCAGATCAGCTAGATCTGAGCCTATAAATTGTGGGCAAACCAGATCACCAAAGCCCTTATTAACTCCCTCAGAAGAGCAAATAGCGGGCCTCCAGGCATGAAGATAAGCCACTTGCACCACAGGCCCAACCAGACTGGCCCCAGCGATTTATAGATCCAGCTTATAAATTAGAGGCCTCCAGTGTTATAAAAAGAGACAGACATGTCAAAGGATGAGAGATAGAGAAAGCAGCCTCTCTTTAACCAGGAGGACACTGGGCTGAACAGGAAATCCCCACCTCAAAAAGCTTTGGGATTCAGCTCTTCACTGTGGGAGGCCGTGCAAATCTCTTTTAGATATATTTAATGTTCAAGAAAGCCCTTTTCTGTAAATTAACAGAGAAGAGTATTTGATCAAAAGGTATTCTCTATAATTTCAAATAAAAATTCTAGTTATAACCTGTTAACTACTAGAGGGCAATTCTGATAATAATTATAATAATACACAGCTTTATTTCTAGAAAATGAAAAACATATGTACAGATGATTTTTTTCACCTAGGTGCTCAGTTATGGACCCATTAATATTAAGCTGCTGTAATAAAACGTGCAACAATGGTTCTTCCAGTAGACGACTCCCTTCATTCTGTCTTAGCACAGTAGTTAACAGCATGAACTTTGGAGCCAAATGCCAGATCCACTACATACTAGTTGTTATTGGTTAAGTAACTAGACTGCTCTGGGCCTCAGTTTCTTGGCTAATATTAACACCTGCTTTATAGGATTACTGCAAGGATTACATAACTCATGTTATGTAAAGTGCTAGAACTGTGCCTAACACAGAGAAATGCATTGTAAAATTTGTGCCTGTTATCATCCTTAACACCAGAAATGTTCAGCTCTTGGAACAGAACTGTAAGCACAGCTTACTACAACCACTGAAGGAACAAGTTCCTTGAGACGGCTTAGTTCCGCTCTTAGGACACACTCAAAGTCACTGCACCTCTTTCTGTTGTGCTTTCCGGTGATTGCATCCCTCCTATATGGCTCCATGCATGCTGTGCTCCGTTTCCCCGTTTACTCCACTCCTTCTGGACTATAAATGTTTTGAGAACAGGGACTATATCTTACCTTGTGGTCTCAACACCTAGCACAGAGCCTTGCATAAAGTAGACGCTCTACAAAAAAATGAAACAATAAATATTAGCTACTTATCTGACTGCCTCACTTAAGTTCCTGAGGACAGAGGCTACTGAATGTAGATCTTTGCATCCTTGGAGGGGTCTTCTGCACAGTGGCACTTAAAGCCTATCACCTACATTTTGTATCCAAGTTCCTAATATATTTTGAATTTTATTTGAATTTATTCATGATCCTTTACTAAAACAAAATGCACTTTGAAATGGAATAATTCTCCTTTTTCACCTGAAGGCTCTTAATAGAGAAGGAAATAAATTTTTCAATGATATTTTAGTCCTCAAAGTGATGACCACAAGGAGGAGAAGCGACCGATGTCTGCTGCCTGATCTCTTTCTTCCATGCTGTTCTGGATGGATCTTTGGCAGTGGCCCATCCCCCAGAACCTAGCCAGAACAAAGCCTTCCTCAAAGAGTCACCCTTGGACTGCCGCACAGATTTTACTCAGTTGGTACCATTTCCTACAAGCTCTTTTACATTTATAAGATGTTCATTATTTCAAAATTCTCCCTGGCCACCCAGCTTGTGAACATGCCCAGTTCAGCTGATGACAAACAGCCACCTTGGGCAGCATTCTATTCTGGATCTTGTAAAACATGAATTTGGTGCTGGCAGCCTTTTTACCACTTGGGAGCTCATCAATGAAAGATCTTCAGTGGGACCTTCGGTCTGATTTCTGACTGCTGCCACACAGTGGGGCTACCTCCCAGCACCCTCAATCTCAAGATGCGCACATATCCCAATGAAAAGGGTAATAACCTTTTTAGAGTCTAGATAAACACCTTACATTTCTCAGGGGAAAATAGTGATTTAACATTCCTCTGAGTCATTCTATTACCAGATTACTTCCAGGTGTTAAAATTGTGCCTCTCTCTCCCCCACATCATGTGTCATGGACTAGTATTAGGTCAGAGCACAAATACACAAGTCATGCGTGATCCCTTCTTCTTGTTCTCCTTACTCAAAGTCGTTAGGTAAGTGTTTTATTCCTCTTGACTTTACACGATGAAATTATGCTGACTTCCTTGCTTAATGAAATTAAAAATAAAAATGCTGTCAAACTGACACTTTTTTGCTATCCCTGGTGCTCTTGTTCAGTCAAGGAACATCAAGGCTAGAAAAGACCTTGGAGAGTCATCTTCCTCATTGAATATATCTAGCCTGAGGCCCAGGAAAGTTGAGGCTTTGCCATGGTCTCTCTCTCTCTCACACACACACACACACGCAGAGAACCAAGGCTAGAGCAAAGGTCTTCCTGGCTCCTTTCCACACACCACACTAAATGAGTCTCTTGTCAAGAACTTCACCCTAACCCACAGTGCTGAAGAAGCTGTTCTCATTCTCAGCCTCACCTTATTCTCTACACCTTGGTAGTCCAGCTACATAATTATGTGCCCCCCAAATATGAGAAAGACGAGTCTCTCATCTCAAAGAATAACTTAGGAACATCACTGTTGCTTAAAGATATTATCCCTAGCAACTGTTACAGGCTTCTTTCTTCCACACTGTTTCTAAGACAAGACTGAATGTCCCTAAGATCCTGCTTCCTTAAATAGTCCTCAGGTATAGTCTGATAAAAATGGGAAAACTCCATATACAAGCACTTTTACTATAGAGAAAGAATGGAGCCCGATGCCCACTTGAGAAAGTCATGTGACTAGGAGCATTCAAGGTAAGAATAATAGCCTATCAGAGACTCAAAGCAGCAAGAGGACAGTTTCTGTCATTGGCAGTGAACAAACGTTAATGATAATGTAAATTCCATGCCCTGTGTTACTTGACATAATCATTGGCAGGCACATATTAGAAAACAAGCTTACCAGTATATAACTGGTGACATCACCCCCCCACCCCCCCACCACAAAATCCATTAACCCAAGAGTTCCCAAACATGTTCTAGACCTTAATGGCTATAGCAAATACCAAATACAAAATTTCATACTGTAATTTCAAATTAGACTCTCTCTAGTTCTTTTTACCTGGTCTAGTAACCAGGAAAATGGCCTGAAAGTAAGCAACAGGGAAAAGGAAAAGAGTGTCTATTTTTAAGACAGAATATGGAAAGAGATCAAGAAAATGAGAAGTAATGTAATATGACACAAAAGCATATACTGAATGACTTTCTTAAAGTTTATTTTGATATATATTTGGAAAACAACCATTTATTGAAAGTTGTGACAATCTTAGGGTTTTCAAAATTTTTATGTCTATATAAAAATTAATACAAATATTTTATAAGTAATTTCAAATTACAACTCACTAAAAGTCTGAGATTAAAATCTCAGATCACATTAATGAAAAATAAGAAGCAGATTAGCAAAACCCCCTATTAAATTTCTCATTTCATACTGAGGGAAAACAAAGGACACCATCTCCTTCTTGACAGGTAATTAGAGCTATTACAGAGACTTAAGGTTTCAAAAAAACTTAAAAATTATCCCTAGCAGATTTAAAAGCAGACTATTTACCTTCAGATATACCGCAAATTTAAAATATCAATCAAATCATAATTAAAAAAAACTTTAAGTCAAATAGCAAAAACCCACAATGGAAACAAAAAAATTTAAAACAGAAAGTTTAAAAGAAGATAAATGAAGTAAAAATAATTAAATCATTTTTTGACAATAAACATAAATAAATTAAAATATCTGTTAAAAGATAAAGGTTCTCACTAGGTTAAAAATATTAATTGTTCCACTTTTAGGAAACATACTTAAAACAAATGACAAAGAAAGGATAAATATAATAAGAAGTACAAAGATGTTTAGGAAAATGTAAACTAAGGTAGCAATATTAATGTCAGCTAAAACACAAAGCACCAGGCATAAATTAGAAAGTCATACAATTCTTATAAAATTTATAATCCTCAATTGAGATTATAAATTTTATATTACATTAACACTGATACCAAACCAAAAACTGACAGAAATATAAGTAAAAATTAATAGAAGAAATCACTGATTTATATATTTAGGACTTTCATAGAATAAACAGTAATCATAGAAAAGTTAAACAAAATATTTAGGTATCTTATAAGAAATACAAATTCTTTATAAAGATCTGTAGAACTACTGAAATTTATCACAAACTAGTCCATAAAGACCATCTTAAAAATTAGAAAAGCACAGTACTGTGTATCAATTTATCAGTTTCTTAAATATTAGTATGTAAGTTTAAACATAACTTGGAAAATTGAGAATTAGTCTCCTAAATAAGTACTGCATTGACCTAGCCAGTGTGGCTCAGTTAGTTGGAGCTCTGTCCCTAGGCCAAAGGCCATGAGTTTCTAGTCAGGGCACACACCCAGGCTGTGGGTTCGATCTCCAGTGGGGGCATGTACAAGAAGGCAACCAATCAATGTTCCCCTCTCCCCTCTCTCTCTCTACCATCTCTAAAAACAATGAAAAAAGTGTCCTCAGGTGAGGATAAAAAAATAAAAATAAAAAAATAACTACTGCATCAACAGCACTCTTGTCATCCAGTCCTATGCTGTTCTAGAAATTGTTAATTGAGAATGCACACCAAAATACATTGAATATGGCCAAAAAGTACACAGAGAAAAATGTAGCAGTCTTAAATTCCTAAGTGTTTTTATTTTCTGTTAGGGTATCAGCTTTCTGCCATAACAAAGATCCTCAGAAATACAGTAGATCAAGTTAGAACATTTTCTTTTTCATGTCACAATACAGTGTGGCAGGGGAAGTGTGCTTCACGAGATCACTCAGGGGCCCAGGCTGGCTCTATCATCCTCCAAAAGGCTTCCATCTCTGGGAGGTAGCTGCCATACCTGATGTAACCTCCAACCAGCAAAAAAAGAAAAAACAAAGTCTAGGTCAAGCGGCCTGTCTTTCAGCAGATAACCTTCTACACATCACTATTCACCTCTCAGTCACAGCCTGCTGCAAAAGAAGCGGAGGGAAGCAGTGTCTAGGTGGTCATCCCTGTATGCGCTCAGGTAAAATCTAGGGCTTCTATTCCTAAAAGAATAGATTCGAAGGAACATCAGGATGGCTTCCACACATTCTTTCTAGTTAAAAAAATGAAAAGAACAGTAAAACAAAACAAAAAGAACTAATTATATGTAATTACTTCATTTTAGCTAGATTTTTATGCCAAAACACTACCAAATATAATTTAGGAAATTAGAAAAGTACATCAATGAATTCTGAGGATGCATGGGTCCCATTATAATACATCAAATCATAGGCTAGAAAGTATACTGAGAAGTTCATCTACTATCTTTACTTTTTATGGAAAGTTAATTCATACATTATTGTTTATATTGTGATTTATTTAAGTGGACTTTTCAGGTCTACTCAGCTTTATGGAAGGTTTTAAAAAGAAAAACAACATTGCTGGAGTTGTTTTTATATTTACTGAATATTTTATATATACTGTTTTTATATACTGAAGCACATTTTATGTACAATAAAACATGTACATTTTAAGTGTACAGTTCTGTGAACTTTACAAACACTTATGTCCACATAATTCCCCCCATAGTCAGGATACAGAACACATGCATCATGCTCAAATGTTCCCTTGTGTCCCGTTCAGGTATATCACACTTGACTCTCAGCTATAGGCAACATCGTTACTTGTCTGTTTATTGTCACTATAAAATAAATCTGGCTTTTCTAGCACTTCTGATATAAAAATTCAGGGCAGTAAATGGAATCATAGAGTTTATATTCTTTTGTATCTGGATTATTTTATTCACCATAATGTTTTTGAGATTCCTTCATGGTGTTGTGTGTATCATTACTTTATCCCTTTTTATTGTAAAATAGTTTCCCATTGCATGGACATACCACAATGTGTTTATCCATTCACTAATTGATGGACATTTAAACTGCTTCCAGCTCAGGGCTATTATGAATAAAGTCACTGTGAACATGCACGTACAAGTGTATCTCTGAACATGTTTTCATTTCTCTTGGGTAAATATTTAGAAGCAAAATTGTTGGGTCTTATTGTACTA